CTGCACTCCATATATGTGAGCAGTACTCCATAGTTGGTCGAATCTGGGCTTTGTAGAGTGTCAGCAATTGGCTTGGTGTGTACAGATGTCTTGTACGAAATAGCGCCACCAGCTTTTGGGAGGCCCTTTTAGCAATATCTGCCACGTGACTGTGCCAAGACATGTTGGTCTCTACAGTAACCCCCAAGATGTTCAACTGAGTCTGTAATGTGACAGCACTTCCAGATAGCATGATGTTTGGCTCACCGGTGCTGGTCTTTTTTGAAAACAGAGCTGCTTGGGTTTTCTGCGCGTTGAACTGTACAAGGTTTTTGTTACCCCAGTCCTCTATTATCTCCAGGTCGTTATTTATCTGCGATATTTGAGTTAGTCTAAGATGATGGAATTCACGTGCGGAAAGACCTGTGGGTGGTATGAGTGAGGAGACTACATTGCCATCGTCTGCAAAGCAATAAAGTGGATTTACTGTTTTATCTATGAGGTCATTTATGTAAATCAGGAAAAGAGTTGGCGAAAGGATTGCTCCCTGTGGCACACCAGCATTTATTTGGTAAGAGTTGGAGTTCTGGCCATCCAGTGCAACATAAATGGATCTGTCCTTTAAGTAACTTTCAAACCAAGTGCAAAGTTTCGGCGATAATCCCATTGCTTTGAGCTTGTTGAGCAGATTTTCATGCCAAACTTTGTCGAATGCTTTAGATATATCTAAGGCAATTGTTCTTGTTTCACCCCGCAACTCAATCGCTTTTTGCCATAAGTGAGTGACGTATGTAAGTAAATCGCCAGTTGACCTATATTTTCGAAATCCGTATTGCTTATCGTTGATAATTTTGTACTTTTCCAAGTACTTGGTTAGGTGATTGTTCACAACTCTTTCCATTACTTTTGATATCACCGGAAGTAGAGCAATTGGTCTATAGTTTAACGGATCTGTCTTTTTTCCTTTCTTTGGAATGGGTTGTACTGCGGCAGACTTCCATGATGATGGATATACTCCTTGCCTGTAAGACAAATTGAATAATTTTGCGAAAGTTGGGGTGAGTTCGTTGGCGCAATTTTTGAGTACTATTGCGGGAATGCCATCCGGACCCATTGCTTTGTTTGTATCCAGCTTTTTTAGGGAATTTCGTATTTCTCTGTGACAAAAGGGTACCTCTGGCATACTATGGGAAACCCTTTCAATGAAAGGTGGAGTTTTTCCGTTTGGCACTGTTAGGTTGGAGTTGGAGGAAAACATTTGGGCAAGCATATTGGCTTTTTCCTCTAATGTTGTGGCTAAGTGATTATTTTTATCTGTAAGTGGTGGTATGGATGACTTGGTGAAGTTTGATCCAACAGCTTTTGCAAGAGACCAAAAAGACCTAGAACTACTTGGACAATTCAGCAACCTGTTTTTTATTCTTTGATTGTATGTTTCTTTAGCGGAGTCAATAGTAATTTTGCAACTATTTCTGGCTTCTATAAATTCTGTGTGGTTTTGAGCGGTTTGTTGTCGTTTCCAAAGGTTATAGGCTCTGTGTTTTTTCTGTACAGCCGTTTGACACTGGCTGTTGAACCAAGGTTTTGCATTAGCTCTACGTTTAGTTGTATGTGGGATATATGCGTCCAATCCAGATAAGATTACTTGTGTTATTTCATTACAGCAAATAGTGGGATCAGCGGTTTTGAAGCAAACCTCTTGCCATGGAAAATCCAGGTAATACTGTTTTAGGTCATTCCATTTTGCAGATTTATAGTGCCACATTTTACGAGGAAGTGGTTGTAGGCTTGGTGGGATGAGCATTTCGCACTTTGTTATTATAAGTTTATGATCGGACGAACCAAGTGGAGCATCTACTTGAGTTGTGTACGAGTCAGGATTGGTGGTTAGGAACAAGTCTAAAAGCGCTGCAAATTCGCCCCTTTCTGAGATACGGGTAGGTTCATCGACAAACTGCGTTAGACCACAACTTATGGCAAAAGCTTCTGCTTCTCTGCCTTCGTTATCTGTTTTGTTGTGGTGTTTCAGCCAGGGTATATTGTGGACGTTGAAATCGCCTTAAAAGACAATTTCCGCCTGTGGATAGTTTGACTGTATACTATCACAGCTTTCGGATAATGTCGCGAAAAAGTTTTGGTAATCGATATTACTTGGCGGTCGGTAGAGGCAGCAGATAAACTTGGTCGATGACTTTGAGGTGAATTTTAGCCATATGATGTCAAGGTTCGCTGGTTCTAGCTTCTCCTCTCGATGACATGAAAGGTTATTTTTAATGTACACACAGATCCCAAAATTATGTCGAAATCGGTGGTGTAGGTCATAGCCGGGATAAAGATAGTTCACAATAGGTGTTGCAGAACTGATTTTAGTTTCAGTGAGAACAAGGATGTCAGGTCTTTGTTCTTCAAGATGTTGGTGAACTGAATTCATATTTGTATTTATTCCTCTTATATTGCTAAAATCAATTCTGAGTTGAGTTTTTGATCTTCTCTTTATATCTTTGCATGAAGGACCCCCAGGATCACCCGACGCCCGGAGATCCGAGTGGTCGGGTATTTTACCTCCGGAATATTTTGATCCTGGAGGCGCCATCATGCTATCTGTTACTCATTGTTGGAACCGGACTGCCAGCGCAGTAGCGGAACGTGGTGATACCACTTAGCGCTACTCAATTCTGGCATGGTGGTATCTCACCGGTCGACGCCCAATGAGTAAAAAGCGTCTACCACCTACTTTTATTTTGTGGGTCGAAATGAACGTTTTTTGGTGTGGCACCCCAAAAGTTTTCTTGACTCCGGCGGCGTTTGCGGCGGACCTCCCCCTCCCCCTATGGGCCTGGGGCTGTAGCCCCCCCAGATCTGATGCCTTAACTTCGCCCATGCCATTAATCCCTGCGGGAATAATATATGGCATTACTGTCAAAATCACAAGTATAATACTTACATTATATGTCAGTCGTAAATAAAGCATTATTATTATTTATTATTATATTATTATTATTATGTAATAAAACATTTTTCTTTGATTTTATAGGGTACTGAATTTTTAGATTTGTGCATACTTACTTTATCCAAAAAGTCATCTCGCGATATTAAAAAGTCTTAAAGGGGGTGTGCGCCAAAAATTAAAGTTTTAGTGTAAAAAAATCTAAGAATAACTGTTCAAACCTCGTTATTCTACGATGAACCATAGCTGAGATATACCGCTTCAAAGTGTGTGTGACGTCACGAAAGCTTCGTCCAGCCGCGCTCCGCATTGATAATTTGATTGTTTCTGGTACGCGTGAGTGGTTTTTGTTTAAATTATTGCAGGTGACACAGGAAAAACATATGTAAATTCAATCTACTTCACTTTCTCGTGCGTCGCTTGAGCTTTCGTGACGTCATAGGGTGAGATGCGGTACCTTCATAGAGCCATATCTTCGATATTATTTGTCATAGAGGGGTGCGGTTTTCACTGTTATTCTTAGATTTTTTTTCTCTTTTTTTTTTGATATGAAGTTGTTTTTTTGGCGCACACCCCCTTTAAGCTCAGAAATGGTTGGAAGTTCTTCATACAATTTATATTGTTCCCAATTGCGAATTTTATCTAAATCAAGCTTACTGGTTACTAAATATATTGATAAAGGATTCCAATTTCCAGTTTTAACATTGTTTGCTTCTTTGACAATAAATCAACCAAATTGCGAAATGCTTTAGGAGAATCTGGTTCGAGCTCTGGAATGTTAAAAAGTGATTTGATATGGTTATGAATCATTGACCTCTTGTTATCAAACATCTCACACAAGATATTCCAAGCAAATGCATAGTTATCACCTGAAATTTCTTAACATTGAATACACTGAGCCGCAGAACCCTCCAAAGACGCATGCAAATAATGCAGCTCTTGAACTGGATCAAGATTTTGAGCATTATGAATTAAAGAAATAAATAATTTTTTGAACTCAAGCTATTTATCGTAGCTCCCAGAAAACTTGGGCAACTCAATGTAAATGGCTTGACAGAATTAGAACCAGTAGAATCATTTGACATAACATTAACATTTTGATTAGTATACATATATCTTCTTGTAGGCAATGCACTTGTAATCAATGACTGGTTTTGAACAAATCATCCACGTAAAATGATCTGGACCTGGACACCTTCTGGTCGGGCGACGTCCAATTTGTGGTTTTCAAAAGCTTGTAAACGATAATATAGAGGAAAAATGTTACCTAATTGCTCGCTTCTATATTATTAAATGACCATGAAGTATATACTTGCTACTTTGAACTTGAAAGGGCCCCTTCATCAGCTAACTGTACTTCGTCGTCGAACAGGATACGCCAATAAATGATTCGGCAACGATGGACCAATAAATATATTGATAATATGAATCTTATCAATACCACTTTTCTGGATCAGCGCTTGCAGCGCTTGCAGAATTTGCATATTAGAAAAGAATGAATTTGAGTGGACTGTTTATTGAAAAAGGCTCGACTTGTTCTATTATCTATCAACTTGTTGCAAACAAAACTTGTCGTTAATGAAAATTTTGAAACAAAACAATTTTAAAACTAGAGTACCTACCAGAAAAAGTTTAACTATAGTCATGCTATAGACTATCCAAGATGCTGTCAAACTTAAATTATATTGTCCGCCAAGAGGTACACAAACTCTTTTCGGTCATATTATGCTTGTCAAAGTCACATATTTTGGATAGGCTAATAGACTAGCCAAAATGCTGTCAGACTTAAATTAAATTGTCCGCCAAGAGGCACACATAAAATCTGTTTTTTTTTTAAGATAAAAGTCAAAATGACCTTATGTTGGCAATATAATGTAAAAGTGTCAATGCTTTCAATTTTTTTATGTAGAAAAGGCTTGTGTTGCCAACATATTCACTAAATTTTTGACTTGGGGAATTATCTTTTAAAAAAAAACGAACAATACTTTTTCCGGTCATATTTTGCTTGTCAAAATCACGTGTTTTGGATAGGCTACAAGTTCATCGGAAGAATTTCGAAAATAGAAGTGAACAATTAACAAAAATACCAGGTTTATTTATTACTAAATTTTTCTTAAGTACAAATTATTTTCTTTGGCTAAAAAAATTTAAAATTTCAAACTAATTAATACTCGAATTATTATTATTCATCACAAAAAGTCCCTTTTTATAAAGGAAACGCTTCGTCGTAAGTAAATTTTTCTGTAATTTTATTGCTGAGATCCAACAAAACTTCCGAACATTTTCTTTCAATGTACGGCGTTGCCAATGAAATGAGGTCCTGCTTGTTACCGTTGAAAAGTTGTCTTGCTGCTTGCACTAAAAAAAAAAAAATTATATTTGATGAGGCAATAATTTAAGAATAGTTTGACTCTAACAATTCTACAGGATCCAAGAATACCTAGGTACTAAGTAAATGGAAATTTAGAATGAAGGATTTTTCCTTTTTGTAAAAATAATTTTAGTGATGTTTTTATAAAAAAAGTTCCAAAAATAGTGGTATTTAAGGAGCATTTGTGGCTCTGAGCATCTGGGAATTTTAGAGCATGCTTTTATTTTGGATGTAGCTGCATGCCACTGACTTCAAAGAGTCTCTGTAAGTCTTAACGTGTTCTGATGAAAACTCTTTTGGGGCTTCACTGAATGCCCTTAAAGTCCAATATGATATTTTTAGGATCGATTTGAGATTTTTTCATCCGAGTCAATTTTCTCATTCACCTTTGTTCTGGCCACAATGAGCAATAGTGTAAATTTAAATAAACGGTGTTGTGCCGTGACTACAATTTGCCGAAAATTGTATTTCCTCAAAGTTGAGGGACTTTTAGCAAAATTAGTTTAGGTAGGTAGGATTAAATACTTACTCAGAACAGGATCGTCGCTCAGCAAATTGTCCATATCCAAATTGAAATCTCCAATTTTAATTTTAAAAGCGATTGATTGGAACTTGAAACGATTGTTGTTCACGTCACCTTGGATAAGAGCTTGACCATCGATATCGGCTAAAAAATTATTGAAAATTCATAAATACTCTTAGCAATTTTGATTGGCTGGAAAATTTCCTACAATCAAATCACTTTTTTTAAAACCCTTATCAAATAATTCTAATATCACAGCGAATGTCCAAATGACATCTCAAAAAAAATTACTCACTGGCGTTAGCATGGAAATGTCCCTTCGATTTAATTGGCGTCACTAAAATTTTTGCATCGATATCGTAATCACCTTCCATTTGCAAAGATGGAATTTTTACACCTACACGGTAGGTTTTCTTCTCCACGTCCAACCTGAAAAAAAAAAAAAAATCCATAAGAAACTAAAAAAAAGCATAATTAAAAAAATCCATACTTCAAAGTTGTAATCTTAAAGTTTCCAGCTCCGTGAGCTACAACATTACTCAAAGAAGCGTCCAAATTGGGAGTTTGCGCACCGTCAAAAATTACAATTTTCTTGATCTTTAATGGATCTAATCCTGGCACATCTAGCTCTGGAATCCCCTGAATGAGCCGAGGTCTAAGAGCTTCTACGGAATTCTTAATACATTCTGCCACTTCTGGATCGTTTCTATGGCAGATATGAATATATTCAGCTACAAAAAACTAGTTGGAAAAGTTTTTTTTATGAGTGAATAGTGAATACTTACGGACAAACGCAGAAGCGAAACCACAACCAGCTACCAACACTAAAGTCACTAAATTAAATTTGACCATGACGGAAATTGTTTGCTTATCGTTACGCAAGTTCCAATGCGAATCCCAACCAATAATTTCAAATTCTGCCTTTATACAAAAAACGAATCATTTGTGACGTAAGCCGGACATTAGTGGGTACCTATAACTACCATATGCACCAATGAGAATTTATATTAGTGCGCATCTACATATTATATTGGCTGAATATAGGAAGCTGATGCCTATGGGTATTTGATCTATCATTGTTTTTATTGATAGCATTAGGTTTAGGTATCCTGCAAATTTGTCATAAATTGCGGTTTTGTTTAAAAATGAAATTTAATTTGGTTATGTCGTTTTCATGTGGTATTATCGTTGTAGTTTCGCTCCGTGCTAAAGCCCTGCAATTTGCATGCCAAATCGCCCGGATTTATTGTATCACGTCTTCAGCCAAGAAAAATAAAATTTTGTTGCAGAAGAAAAAGCTGGCTTCCTGCGCTATTGGCAAGATGTCGACAACCCCTATTTTTGATCCTGGTCCTGAAAAAATTCCCGATTACAATTCCCAATATCCTAAAACCGAAAAGGAAAAGCAAAAGGGTGAGTTGAAAGCTGCGAGATGACAAAGCACACAAAACACCCTCGTTCCTCTATCAACATTTCAGTCACTAGAAGAAGAGAATAAAATGCTGAAAGAATAGTTACAGACTTTACAAGCCTCATTAGATACAATTCTTATGGAAGTTAGAAGTAATAATTCATCAAATACAAAAACGACAAAAACTAACAAAAACAAATCATGTAAAATTGACAACGACCGTATCTGATGATGACGATGTAATTTCCCAGGAGAAAATGGACATCTCCGACGTTGATTTTCCTCTACTCAAAAAACCAAAACATACTACCTACTCCGCTCAACTTTCCTCACAGTACTAGCAAAAAATTAATGACCTTTCTAACACGTTGAGTGCCACAATGGTAACAAAAAATTCCTATGGCCACGTTTTTTTTTCCTGCATTGGCTAAAAAAATATCATTTTGAAGTAAAAATGCAACAAAAATTCTGTAAAAAAACTTTAGATGCTCGAAAAAACATGGTTTTGAGAATGTATCCACGTTGGATACACATGGCCAGTTTATCATTTTTTCGAAATTTTACTCCGGCATGTATCCAAAGCAGATACATGGCGCATCATTGGCAACATGGCATAAATAAATGGGTTTTATGTGTTGAAATTATGAAAAAATACGTTTTTCTACAACTGTCAAAAAATGATGATGTTCGCACACTCATGACAGTTTGCGAAGTGGCACTTTTTTCCCAGGTATTGATTTTTTAACGTTGCCATGACACCGCGCGCGAACTAGCTATTTCGCGCACACGTGCGCGAAATAGCTAGTTCGCACACTGGGTGTCATGGTGACACATACCTGTCAGGAAATCAAAAATAATTAAAATTCACCTACCTTTGATTGAAAATGCAATTTTGGCTCCGAATGATTAATATTTAAATGGAGTTGTAGAAAAAATATTGTTTGCAACTCGGGCGCGAAATACTTTGGTGATCGAGATCTGATTTTTTTAACGAGGCGCAGCCGAGTTAAAAAAATAGCATTTCGCGCCCTTGATACAAAAATAACTATTATACGTTTTTATTCCACAGTATGTGTGTGCAATATACAATTTTTATATGTCCTCATTTATAAATCCCTCTGTAAAAAAGAAAAACCAGAAATAGAATCCTCAGGTCAAACCGTTTTTGGGGTACCCCAGGCCACTATACAGGGTGTTTGGTACATCGATAGGAAGTTTTCAATGAGTGATAGTTTAGGTCATTTGGAAGCTGTTTGACCACATTTACCCTTATGCAAAGTTTCGTCATTTTCGAGATATTAGCATTTTTAGATATTCTTGAATAGTTCCTAAAACGATACAAAAAATATGTAGCCCAAGTTATGTGTTAAAATACATGGATTCAAAATATCTAAAAATGGCGATATCTCAAAAAACGGCGCAACTTTTCATTAGGATAAATATGGTCAAACGCTCAAACGGCTTCCAAATGACCCCAACTATCACTAATTGACATATTCCTATCGATGTTCCAAACACCCTGTATAAAAGCTCCCATAACAATACGTGCAAAGCCTGCATCTTACGGGAATACACATGGCCAGGAATAAAAAAACCAGTTTGTATCCGCAGTGGATACATGTGGCCCCTGAAAACGTATGCCGTATGTATCCATTTTCGATACACGTGACATACTCAACGTGCTAAAGAATGAACATGACGATACCTCACAGACTACAGAAACCATACACACAAAAAGCAATCCCCCTAAAAAAAACCGTTCCAATTATTTCAAGTAAAATTTTGAGTCCTAAACAACTTTGAACAAAACTTACGGACATTAAACTATTTTTTACCACCCCTAAAAAAGACCGATTGGGGATTTCCATCGTTCCTGACTCTCCTGATGACCATCATGGCATCACTAAATTTCTTAAAGACCGAAAAATTTAATTTCACTCTTATACCTTCCAGGAGGAACTTGAATATTTGAGTTTCTCCCCGAGAGAAATTCAAAGATTCAATCCTTCTTAGAGAAGGCTCTTCTCTAATAAATCTCCTGGTCTTCCCAGATGAAGCTGACAAATTTTACCAAATTAAAAGGATTAGCTACATGCCGGTGACTAATGAAGCCCAGCATAGTAAGGACACAAGGTATGTTCCTCAATGCCACAATTGTCAGCAGTTTGGGCATACTTTGTCGAATTGCTATGCTAAGCCTTAATGTCATTGGTGTGCTGGCAATCATTCCTACACTAAATGTATCAAAGACAATAACTCCATCCCTACATGCGCAAACTGCGGAGGTGCAGATCCAGCCAATTATAGGAATTGTCCGAAGTGTCCAAATAGAAATGTCCCTTCCATCCCCAAACCAAACACAAGCTCAAAGCTCTTCTCCGCGAAGGGACAGCAGCTTTATTTAACACAACCCCATCTGTGAGAGTGAGCTTCGCTCAAAAAATTAAATTCAATACCAACGATCATAATAACAACATCAATACAAATACAAACCCCCCTCAACAACAACTAAACTTGACAAACAACTCCATTCTCCATTTTGAGTCTCTTGACTCTGTCGGAGCAAGAGATTTCAAATAAACTGAACAAACTTGCCGAGATAATTAACAATCATTCCAGTCTCATTTTGATACAAATAGACCGACGCGACTTTACATAATCTCTTGGAATGCAAACTCTATCTTTCCCAAAAGATACGAGTTTGCATCCTTATTCTTACATGAGGATAATGTTGATGTAGCATTAGTCCAGGAGACTATGCTCAGACCACATACAATTCACAACGTACAAAACTATACTTTATACAGAAATGACAGAATAACTAACCCTACTGGTGGTGGAACTGCCGTTTTCGTTAAAAACAATATCCCTCATGACACTATTGCCACAGGGCCTGTGACAATCTGAAATACACTGGTGTGGAAGTCCACCTTGCAGATGGCCTGCTCAATATTTTCAGGGTTTATAAGCCTCCTTCTAAATGCTTACCCATGATGATATGAGCGTCTTCTCCGCTTCTGATGCTCCGACCTTAAGCCTCATTTACACGGTGCAAGTAGCTTGAGCAAGTACTAACGCCAGTAACTAAAATTTAGTAACTTGAATCGTGTAAACACCTTAATTTAGTACTTGAGCAAGTAAACTCTTTAGTCAAGTGATTAGTCAAGTGAATAGAAGCAGGTTCTATTTACTTGAGCAAGTGGCTTCCCCCACTCTCGTTTATTTTACTGACTTTAGCGAACTGGACGCGTGTAGACAGGATTTGTATTTGATTAGTGAAGTACATTAGTAGGGTTTGAATTTGGATATTTTGAGGATTGTGTTGCACCTTTAATTGCCTTTGCAATGTCGTCTCGTTGGACGGAAGAAACCACAATTAAATTTGTGCAAGAGTACAGAGAACATCCGATCTGATTTAATTTTTGCTGGAAACGCAGGTCTCATTACAGTATCTTGTGTGCTAATCATGGGTTTTATTTTGAAAAGTAGCTTATTGAATTGTTCTTTTGTCATCCGCATACAACTTCGATATTCTTATGGATCTTCCTTAGCCAGTTCAACGAATAATGTAACAACGTTTTTCTTTTTCAATTTCTTTCAATAAAATTTCTGATAATTCTCCACAAACACTCAAAATGCATTTTTGAATTTCTTTTCAAACAACTGTACTTGCTGCTATTTCACCTCAATTTGCACTAATCACTAAATTCGACTTAAAATTAGTAAAATGCATGTAGACACTCACTTGCACGAAAACCAAGATAATTTAGCTACTGGCGTTAGTACTTGCTCAAGCTACTTGCATCGTGTAAATGAGGCTTTTTAGTTGCAGAGGATTTAAACTGCAAAAAACAGAGCATGTGGGTGTCACGCTAATAATACAGCGGGCACGACTCTGAACATTGACAGTGCTATTAACACATTTACTCAAGAAGTAAATTACTGTTTAAATAGCACTTAAATTACTATAACCACCAAACAAAATGACCCATACTCACTACCACATCACGCCAGCAAATCAAGTTGAGAAATCGACTGGCAATAAGGACTAGCGACCCAACCATCAAACGTGAATGTAACAGGCTCACGGACTTAATTGAAACTTTAATTAAGGAATACAAGAACGAAAAAAGGGGTAATTTATTAGCTGACTTGTCCCCTAAGGATAATTCTCTATGGAAAATGATTCTTTCTCTTTTAAATAAGAAAAAAAGGCGTATTCCCATGCACCATTCATGGTAGAGCTGGTTTGCTAATCAAGAAAAAGCAAGTGCTTTTGCTGACTCACTTCAATCACAATTTAAACTCAATGAAGGCCCTGATGATGATATTGATCATGAAGAGGACGTAGACAGGCGCTATAGAGAAATCTGTAGGCTGTCTGTTCCTGCGAATGATACAATAACTCCTGTCTCCACCGACGACGTAAATTTTTTCATCACTTGCTCAGTCAGTAGAAAAGCCTCTGATTATGATGATATTAGTAATAAAGTCCTCAAAAACCTTCCGGACATCGTCGTGGC